AGAAACTTCCTGACAGTGAGAACAATTAACCAGTGGAACAACCTGCCTCCAGAAGCGGTGAATGCTCCAACACTGGAAGTTTTTAAGAAGAGACTGGACAGCCATTTGTCCGAAATGGTATAGGGTTTCCTGCCTGAGCAGGGGGTTGGACTAGATGACCTTTAAGGTCCCTTCCAACTTTACTATTATTATTATTATTTTGTTCCTCTTCTGTTGCTTTTTGGCTTGTAAGTTGATCAGTTGGAGTCTGGAGTTCAATTTGTAGTTTTGGGGTAACATCTTTGGCTTTCACTCTGGAGTTCATTAGCTCAGGCTTTTCAACCGATGGTACGCATACCACCAGTGGTACATGAGCACCTTGCTGGTGGTATGTGTAGGACGGGTTGGAAAAAAATGTAAAAACAAAATGTAAAAAAAATGTAAAAAAAAATGGAAAGAAAAAATGAAAAAGTGGATGAGGTGAAGCACAGCAGCACCACACAGGCTTGTGGCAAAGTCAGCTGAAACTGCCCTTGCCTTGGTCCTACTGAGAGCCCAGGATCAAAGCGCATAGTTCCATTCTGCTGGAGAAAAGCAGCGAGCGGGGAAGCGGCTCATTCATTGCTACAGCCAGCCCCGAAGAAGAGCTGGCATAACCTGCAGGCGAATCCACCTGGCTTCATTCTTTATGGCCGAAAGAAGGGCTTTGATCCTGCTTCCCCTTTGCTCCAGCCGGGTCCGTGAATGCCAGATTCAAGAAGACGGAGGAAAGCTCACATGTCTCCACCCCAAAACTCCCAACCAGCCTGTGGCCTTTTGAACTGCTTTGGGGTTAGATCTGGCATTCACGGACCCGGCTGGAGTGAAGGGGAAGTGGGATCAAAGCCCTTCTTTTGGCCATAAAGAATGCAGCCAGGGGGATTCGCCTGCGGGTTGTGCTGGCTCTTCCTCAGGGCTGGCTGCAGCAATGAACAAGCCGCTTCCCCAATCGCTGCTTTTCTACGGCTGCAGCCGCACGCAACACACCAGAGAGAGTCCGGCAGCCACGGCTCTTTCCCCGCCCCCGTACACTCCTCCGCTGCCTGCTCTCTCCTCCCCCTGCAGAAAAACAGTGGCTGTGCTGGGCTCCCGGCTGCAACGAGCCTGACCGCCGTTCCTTTTCAGAGGAAGCAGCCAAGGAGAAGCAGCAGGCAGGAACTGCAGCAGCCGCTGTCACGCAGCGGTGGTGGCAGCAGCGATGGCCAAACTCCAATTGCCTCCTCCAGGCTCTTTTATGCCCTCCCCGGTCCCGTAGCGCTGGACAATGGGAGGGAGGGAGGGAAGGAAAGGACAAAGAGAGGAGGAAGGAAAGAAAGGGAGGGAGGGAGGGAGGGACAATGGAAGGGAGGGAGGGAAGGAGGCACCGCTGGCACTGCGATCCGGAACTGGAAGCTTCAGAGTGTACCTATTCTGAGGTTCTTGTATTTACATTAAGCATGATTTTATCCAAAATCACTCTATTATAATCTACTAAGTTTCAATAATTAAAAGAATCAAGTCCAAGAAATCCATAAATATTTTAATATCCCCAAAATATTCTTACTGTGAAAATATCAAATAAATATAATAAAGGTTGCATTATTTTTCATAAGCACTTTAAGATGCTTCGTCACTGTTGGCAAAAAGAAAAACTGATCAGAGAATATCAGATCATTTTAATATCTAAAGTAACTTGTAAAATTAACCAGTTGTAGAAACAAGGAGGCAAGCTTTGACTTACTTTTCAAAATATTGTTTTCTACCTAGCACAAAGGCAATGCCATGTGGCCCAAAGGGATTTTTATCTTGAATGATCAAATATAAATGTCTACTTCTTCCAGCTCTTACAATGATTACAAGTTTCCCAATGTATTTACTATTTTGGGCCCATACCTCTATTGACTGAAATGCTTCTTAGTGACTTTCTCAATAGGGATAATCAACTTGAGCAAGCCTTTCTTGTGTGTTTTAACAGAAATAAAACTTATTATGGGAAATAGTTTCTGTACATGAGTGTGTGTTGAGGAGAGGAATAAGCAAACCATATATCGGCAGTTTAGAGCTAGAAAATAAATCTGATGGGTAATTCAAAGCAAAAAGAAAGTACATTGAAACTACTAAAATAGGGGGGGAGATAAAGAAACTAGAAGACATTAATAATTTTCCATCCTTATGGAAGTTGAGAACTATCTATACTAACTTTCTATCTACATTTCACTACTGTTTGTGATCTGAAGGTTGTGAAATACTGGATTGGCAGTGCAATTCAAATTGTATTTCTAATATATTTGATTATTCATAGAATTACTTGCCATGAAGACTTAGTGTTTTTGCCATTCATGCTTCTCCTATATTGTTGGCCCAACTTCATGGCATGCAAAGCATGAGTCACAGCATATATTGTATTGTATATACTGTAACTATGACTGCTCATCTTCATTTCAAAAAATGTCCCAGGCAGGTTCTAATTCTGACTACTTTTTATGATCAGAAGGCTGTGAGATACTGGAAAGTCAGTTCAATTCATATCCCTTTTCCAACAAAATTGATTATTCGTCAAATTACCTGCCATGGCTGGAAATCCTGGAGACTAAGTTTTCTGCTGTTTAGTTTTTGCCTGTGTTGTTGGCCAAACATCATAGAATGTAAAGCATGTGCCACAGCATACACTGCATTGTATATACTGTAACTATGACTGGTCATCCTCATTTCAAAAAAGGCCCCAGAAAGGCTCTCCAATTTCTCCTTCCCTGTACAGACATCCTCCATTTGCTCATTCTCAGATGGATTTGGAAACACACAACCGAATGCTTGCTCCCATACATTTTTGATGAAACCATCCTCTTTTGAGGAGAAATGGTTTCTAGTCTGGAGAAAATGTTGGAATCCTCCAACTTCATTTGAGTAAGCTCCAAAGGTCAGAGCACCATGGAGGACTTGGATATCCCAGCTTTTCTGATAAAAGAATGATGCAAGACCCATTTGGGAAGCCACAATCCACACCTTACCTTTTGGTTTTATAGAAACTATTTCCATTTCAGGTAGGCGTAACAACCATCTTACATTTAAAAGATTCTCATCATGAAGTATTATAGTATTTGCTTTGCTTTTAACAAGAAGGTGAAAGGTTTCAACAAGCCATTTCAAAATATCAATAAAATTGTTAATATAAATTGATTTTAATTGTTCCACGAAGGCAATGCAGATGCCATGGAAAGAAAACATTGAGAAGATTAGATGATCAAATTTTCTTCCTCCAAGTCCTTTTGTAAGTACTCCAACCCAAGTCCACCTGAAATGCAAGAGTAGTTGAATAATCCCACTGTAATGAAGTTCTTCACCTGCAACCATGTGGTAGTAGAATGGGCTCTCATTTGGAGAAGAAGCAGTTGGGAACTATGGAAAATATAAGGTAGATAAACAGAAAAATATAGAGAAGAAAAATATGTTTGAGAAAAGAAAATGTGTATCCCTCTAAATTAATAATTTTGAAATATATCAGCATAAGTTTTCACATAATTTCTGTGCACAAACTACTTATGAGATTATGATTGGGTAGATTATCCTTGTGTTCACATCTGCATTTCTTTGGTTATTTGAATTGCCATCCCCTGAATTTGCTTCCATAAGAATGGTGACATCTGAATCCCTCTTGGTTAATATTTATTTATGTATTTTCTTAGTTACTTAGAGTTCTTTACCTTACCTCAGGTTTAAAGATCTCTGGGCAACATAGTGCTTGATAAAATGAAATAAAACACAATAACAATGAAATGAAAATAGTACACTCTACAATACAAGAAGCAGCAAATACAAAATTTCTTAGAAAGTTCATATACGTATATTGAAATATATATATATTAAGAAACTATCCTCTCTTAATCACTTAACTCTAAGTTTTAAATATATTTTCCAACTACCTTCCTAACAAAATTTAAAATTTATTTTTGCTTTGACCTATTTTAGACTCTTATGAACTACAATTGCTTATGTGCTTCTTGGATGTTAAATTAGCTAGCTGTGACACTGCATAACTAAAGAGAATCCTGTCACATTCTCTTCAGGTTCTTCTCAAGTTAAGGTGAGATAGTAGGGAAAAGGGACAAAACATCTAATGAGACTAGTGGCAGCAAGGATTTTTCTGCTGCACTGTAAGAAGAGTTCTAATTTTGCACTTATTATAATCCTTACATTTGTTCTGAATTCAAGAATACCTTTTCATTTTACTGAAATATATTGTTCATCAAGATTTAGTATTTGAATACTTTTCCGTATGTATTCTTTCCTTGTTCAGAACTCACAACAGCCTTCTTCCTTAACAGCTATATTCTGTTAATTTTCATCATGATAATCCCATCTTCAAAGCAGTATTATTAATAAATTATTTAATATACAGGTGAGATTGTGTCACATTGTCACATGCTGTTTCAATTAGTGACCCTGGTATCCAAGTTAACTATACCTTTAGGTTTTGCAATCCACGATAGTCTGAAAAGACCAATCCAATCCATCTTACCTGTGCAACTTTGTAGGTATCTAAAATATCTACTAAAGAGATTCCAGGATCAATAGACCCAACAACTGATATGAGTTTGTTCAAGATGTAGTTGGGAACAAATCTGTTCTGATTTGAGAAAAGTTCCATTTTGGCATGATAGCCAGCATACTTATCATAGATTCTGATACCCAAGGTGATATTAGGTAAGAGTTGGAGGTCTTCATTGATCTTCTTCACAGCAAATATCATTATCAAGATATGCTGATAATATTTAGTCAGGACTCTGCAAAGGAAATTAGATGCAGTATCAAATGAAATTGTGCACTTAAAAACTAAATCAATGGGGGGGGAAAGTCTTCAAAAATAATAATAATAACTTGTCAACTGATTAATAGATTAAGTTCAATCAAAAATTATTTAGAAGATAATACACAATTTTATTTTAACTGATTTACAGACTATTATTCAGTATAAACATTGTGGATTTATTTTTGAGAGAAATAATCACATAAAAAAACATTGAGAGTATGTGGTTCTCCTATCTGGCCTCCCCTCCTTCTCAGAAAAAAAATGTTTTAGTTCATAAGAATATTACTCCTGGAAGAAGTGTGCATGTACTGATATAAAATATGCTGCATCCATGATGTAACATTGTTATTTCTTTGGTTCAATGCAATGCCACAACGTCTACAGCAGACATGTCAAATTGCGACATCATGTGACGTCGCACAACATATCGGGACGGTTTTGCCATTGCATCCAGCCTGCGGGCTGGCAGTTTGACACCCCTGTTCTACAGAGTCAATTTTAGAAACTCATGTTGCAATTCCCTTCCAAGGGAAGAGAGTGGGGGTTGGGGCTGGGAATGGGAATGGGAAAGATTCCTATCTTGACAGAATCTAGGAGCCATGAAATATTGAAGGATTTGTTTGAATTTAAAAAAAAATGATTTAAGGAACACAAGAGCACAAGAAAATATTTTTTAGTGAAAAAAAATTTCATTTAAACTTTATCTGGGAAAAAATATTTTTAATCTCAATTATGGTATAAGGAAGAGAGGTACTAAATAATTTTATCTAGATAAGCTATAAACTATAGAAAAAAAGTTATGTCTTACAGAGATTCACCCACAGGAGAATGATGGGGATCTTTCTCAAAGCTTCCCATATCTCTAGTTATGAAGACAAAAGAAGTCATACCACCGATGATTAGGTCACCTGGCTGGAAATATTTGTGATCAATCGGGATAGGGTCTTGGATGCTGCATTTTTTTAGTTGATTCTTGGAAGCCCTAGTAGTAGAAGAAGGCAATAGCAGTAGGAGAAGTTTCCATAGGATCATAATAATCCCAGTTTTCTATTATTGCCATTAAATTCTTAAGAGTCCCCAAAATTGGATGACCTTGAATTGAATCTGTTCCTCACATGACTTCCATTCTGTAATGAATGTTGACAGAGAGATGGTTCTGAGACATAATTTAGATTATTTCACTTGTCTCTTAATTTTAAAAAAATTAATTGTCCATCAGCATTTACGCCTTATTTTTCCAAGTATAATAATTTATCGGTTAGATCTTTGAGGAACAGCAAAGTTAATAATAGTCTTTTTGATAATTATAAGAGAGAGAGAAAATTGCAACCTTCACATTTTTAACGAAATAATAAGGGTGGAATGAATCAATAATTTATCATGTAATGACAGAAAAGTTTTTGAGATGAGCTGAAATTAATCATGACAAAGATGAAGGAATTCCTGCTACATTCAAAAGCCAAGCCATCTTTTTTTAATAATATTTTATTAATTTTCCAATTTTACATTTGAGTATTTAAAAAGCAATGTGGTGACTGGGTTAATCAATAATTCAATAACAAAATCTTTAGTGCAAATCTTTAGTACAACATCAGATATTTCTTCTCTTTTTCCCTTAACATTTACTATCTCGTATTCAAACTAGTACATTTCTAATTATATTAACTCAATAAAGACCTCATAATTACATTTAGCAATAAATTTTTAGCTTATGCATATCTTAATTACATTCAATCTTCATAAACAATCCATATCTTGTTATTAATTTTTACATAATTCTTAACTTCTCATCAATATTCCAATTTAACCTTTAATATCCATAATTTCAGACCTTGGACAACCAAGATTTCCCTTATCTGACTTCATAACAAACTATGATGTCAAAATACACTTTTATCTATTTAAAAATAATCCCCACGATATTAAGTCATCTACTTAATAATACAACATCCCCTTTAATAAATCAAAACCATTATATATATTGCCTGAGTTAATCAATAAGTCAAATGTATTCATGATAAATTTTCTTTTCCCTTTTAGATCTAATTTTTTAATATTAGACAAATCCAATCCTTATTTTCAACTGGTTTCCAGCTATTTTAAATCTAATAACCAAAATTCCCCTTATCTCAACCTCTCCCTTTAATCCTCTAATTGACAATATAAAATCCCCTCTAATAAATCGAAACCCCAATTTTTTAAACCTTATTTTAGCTTTCTTCCTTTGCCAACTAGGCTTCCATATCAGTGCTTTTAAATCATCAAATAAATATCCCTTCATTCTTATATATGTTAGTTGAATTAAAGGACACCATTTGATTGCCAGTTTTCTGGAAGGACTAGCCCATTTGTATTCATTTAATTGTAGCCCTGTTATTCCAGTCCCCCATGTTTGCTCTGATATATTTGTCTTCAATTCAATCTTTTCTTCTTCAAATATTTCTTCTGATTTGTATAGAAAGTCATTTCCATTTTCAGTGTTGTTGCTTCCTTGTCTGGGTTTTCCATCAGCTGTACTTGTTGGTCAATTGAGTCTTCTGTCTTAGTATTTAATTATTCCACTTCTTCTGTTGTCTTCTGTATTGTTGGTTTTTTGGTTGTAGTCAAAGTTTGGCTTTGTGCATCTAAGCTGGCATCTTGATCTTTTATTTTAGGTCTCATTTTATCACAACCTGAAAGAATATTAAGCAATAGTCAGTAAAAGTTTATATTCACAGTTCAAGAATGCCAATTTTACTGCCCAGCTGTTCTCTTACAATTGAATCTCTCACAGATATTGCCAAGGTCTCAAAAGTCTTATCTATGTTCTGAGCTCTGAACCAAGTCTCTTTTTAGGAAATAACAAATTTCCATGCCAAGCTTCACCAGAAGATGTCACTGATACCATTTAAGATTTTTTTTTAAGAAAAAAAAGTCCCGAATTTTTCTAATTCTTTTTTGCAGATAGAAACAAAAGCCTCCAGCAAAGATAGGAAAATTTTTGGTCCCCAAATCTCAGAAACATATGAATCCAATTAGATTGAAATTGTTCTTTTAAAGCTTTGATTCCCCTGGGTAGTCAGATGCTGCCATTCTTAGAGGATGGGATAGAAATTCCCCTCCCTCTCTTCTCACAGGGGGAAGATCCTTCAAAGAGCTTTCACAGGAAGAAGGTACTTAGGGTAGAGAGAAGATAAGATCTCACCTACTTTCATCTTGAATTGTCTCTTACATTTGCTTCTGTTCCTTAGTCTCCTCTTGTTGTTGTTGCACTCCTTCATCTAAAACTGCTCTATGTCTTACTTCAAAGTCTTCTGCTTTCCAGATTAAATCCAGCCGATACCTTGTATTATTCCAGTTGATTAGAATGCTTTCTGGCATCAGCCATCTAAAATGTATACCTTTTGCAATCAGCTTTGTAGTTATAAAGTGATAATGTCTTCGAGTATCTCTCACTCTCTTAGGTATCTACTTTAAGACCACAATTTCTTTATTCTTGTATTGTAATGGTTCATCTCTCACTTTTCTTAGTACTTCTTCTCTTGTTGTTGTTTTTTTATGAATCTCACATGTACTTCTCTAGGTAATTAATTTTGCTTGCGTAGCTTGAATTCATTCAAAATATTTCATCTATCTCCATTTGCATCTCTGCTCTATCTGCTTTCAAGGCTTCCACCAGAAGCTCAATGATCACATCTGCTATATTTTCTTTTCTGTCCTCAGGGATGTTTTAAAATCTCAAATAATGTTCCACCTTGTCCATTTCTAAAATCATAACCGTCCCTTCTAATTTTTCATTCTCTTGCAGTAGTATTTCCATTTTTCCCATAACATCTGATTTCTCTTCCATTTTCTGAATTCTTTGTTCATTTTTAACAATAATCTGATGATGAAATTCAAATTGTGTTTTTATATCAAAAAATTCTTCACTTAATTTCTCAAAATTGCTTTGTGTCTGTTCATGGTTTCTTTGCATTGACTCTTGCATCAGTTTTAGTGTGGCCTGTATTTCATTTTGGGTAGTGCTTATTTTCTCATGTTGCAACATTGTTTCAATAGATCCCTGGGTTGTTGGGCTGGGCATTCCAACCGAGGGTGCAGAAGAAGTCTTCTTTATAAGTTTGGAAATGTTTGATATACTCATTTTCCAATCAACAGTCTTGATATAAAGTCCAAAGTAAGCCAGCTATTTTAGGCCAAATCTACCTCCTCCAGTCGAGTCTCACTGTGAAGCATTCACTGTCTTCAAATAATTCCTGTTTAGTTATATCCAGAGACAAGAAATATAGTTTTGAGAAATCTTTTCCATTGTAGACTCGTACCAAGGCACTTTGTTTATGCCAGATGTTTTTCAAGGTCGAACAATTCTAGATATTTTTTTTAATGTTTAATCATGCTATAATTTCTTCTTTCGCCACTAGATGTCTTCATACACTCATTTATCAATGCCTGGATTTAGAAAATTTTACGAGGCTCTTTTTTTGAAGTTCTTTATAAGTTATTTATCCTTAACATTATATCTAGAAAGTTTTCACCTCTGTAAATTAGACAGTCAGTCCTTCTTTGAAAAAATCTGAATTCAATTTTAAATGTTATTTTAAAAGAAAATTCCCCCCTTTTATAGTTGCTCACTGCTTTTAGATCGCACTCTTTCTGGGGTCTTTGTTCTTTAACTTTTCCCCATCAGGGGGTCAATGACTTGTAATCCATAAGGAGAAGGAAAGAAAAAGCTGTTCACCCAGTTTCAGCACGCTGTTGAGAATCAGCTGTTTGGTGGAGCACCACATGGCTCCTCGCTTTCCTTCCAGCTGGAGATGACTTGGGCTGCCTTGGCTCTCCTGGCAGCCTTTCCTCCGTCCTTTCAGAGGATTTCTTCAGTCCAATCTGATCGGCCACTGCCTGATCCAAGCTCCTTCTTCATTGCCCCTCCAGGGCAACTTTCCAACCCTTTTTGGGTCACTGGGTGAAGCGAATTCGGGCTGAGTAGCCAGAGCTCTGGCTTCTTCCACCCATCCAGTCAGCTACCAAAACCGGTAAAATTAGTGAAATAGGAAATGGAGTTCTTTTTTAGAGAAAATAAAAAAGATGACACAACACTACAAAATGTATGGGATACAACTAAAGCATATGTTAGAGGTATAGCTATAACATATATGACAAAGAAAAATAAACAGAGCACACAGCAATATGCACTATTAAAAGAAAAATTTGGGAAATTAGAATCAGAATTACAAAAAAATCCACAGAAAAAGACTTTGAAAAGAGAAATGGTACTAATAAAACATAAACTAAACTTGTTGGACTCAGAAAAACTGGCACAGCAGATAAAAAGAGCAAAACAATTTTTTTTTCGAAAATGCAAATAAACCAGGAAGGTGGTTAGCTTACAAACTTAAAAAACAGAAAGAGAAAAAAATGATACATAACTTAGTAGATGAAAAAAGTTATCTACAATTTAAAAATGAAGAAATAAAAAATAATAATTAAAGAATATTACAAGAAACTGTATGATAAAGAAGAAACTCTAAGAAAGAGAATGATTCAATAAAATCTTCCCAAAATTCCAGAGACATTTAAGACTATGTTAGAGAGAAAAATTACAATGATGGAAATATCAGAGGCCATAAGAAGGCAAAATAACGGAAAAACAACGGGTCCAGATGGATTACCGGTGGAGTTATATAAAACTTTACAAGATATATTAAGTGAACCATTGAAAGATGTTTGTAATGGACTTTTGTTGGAGGCTAAACTCCCAGCCATATGGATGGAAGCAAACATTACTTTAATACCAAAAGAAGATTCAGGTTTGACACAGATTAAAAACTACAGACCGATATTGTTGCTTAATGTGGATTATAAAATTTTTACTTCGATAATGGCAGAAAGATTGAAGAAATACTTAATAG